ATTCGATTCGATTCGATTCTAATTTAATCTAATCTAATCTATTCTATTCTATTCCATTCTATTATATTCTATTCTAAATATTCCACCATAAAGAAAATATAGCTTTCTGCAACCTAGTGCTGCAATTTCTTTAATTTTTGACAGGAGGAAGAAACAAAGTTTTCTTTAGCATAAAAAGTCCAAGGTAAAAAAAAAAATGTTTAGAGGGATATTTAAATTGTGTATACAGGAGAAAAGTGGAGATGCGATTGTCCATCAAAGCTCTCAATTTATTCTGAAATATAAAACTACAACAGTAATCTTAAAGTTATTGATACCTCTCTCCGTCGAGAAGCCCAACAGGTTTGTTTGATTTTCCAAACGACAGCAGCTACCAGCAGTAAGGATAAGAAACAACTGCAATTACAAAAAAAAAAAAAGGTAATTGTAACATAATGGTCTGAAAAAGCTTATGTTTTTAGGGTATCAAAGGTAACGAAAATACATTTAAGCGTGGAAAAAACCCCACAAAAATAGAGGAAAACTAAACTCTACCAGGATGACAAACAACAGTCAACCATCCAAGTTCAAACTCAAAAGAGAATGCACACCTCTGATGCTGTGGTTGTCTCCATAAAATGCTATTACTGTCTCCATTGGCATGGGATAAGCTCCATTACAACTATCCACATACCCACAACAGTCTCAACAAATATGCACCGCACGTTCCACATTCAGCAGATGGAAAAAGAGGATGAACTATAGCAAAAAAATGATACCAATTTATACTTCTCTCAGTTTGTGAATTCTGAATAATTTCCTGGGATGCAGGAATGATAACTATGCAGGGAGTATAATTAGTTTGAGGAACCAGGTTTGCACATGACAATAGGTCTGTTTTATCAAATTGAGTATTTCTATAGTGAATCGCCCAGGGAAAACGTCCCAAAGAACATTACCACGTTACAGTCCCAAAGACACAACAGAAGAAGAAAAAAAACATATCAAAATTATTAAACTTCTGCAGTTCACAATCGGAGCATATGCCTTCTCTCTTGCTCCAATAGTTTTGTATTTGTAACATTTAGTCCATAGAGGATTTTTGTAGAAAGATCATTGAACTCTCAACCTCTTTTAGTGAATCTCTGGATACTGACAAAAGGCTTCTAAAGTTGACACCTAATGTAAGCAGTCAGAACATCTTATAATTTATTTAGACAGTTTTTTATAAAAATATCTGGATTTTTTACTTGTGTGAAGAACTTTCAGTCATGTTAGCACATCTGCTGTGCATTTGCAATTAATACACTGCTGTAACTATTGAATTATACTAGTCATCCTTTTTTTTTACTTGTGTGAAGAACTTTCAGTCATGTTAGCACATGCTGTGCATTTTTGCAATTAATACAAACCTGTAACTATTGAATTATACTAGTCATCCTTAATTTTTTTTACCAAAAAGCTTCAAAATGTATTCTTTAACTAATATGGGAACTATCAAGAACTCCCTGAAGTAGTATAGTTCAGTGGAGTACGGTGCATAAATGCAAAATATAATCATTATCCATGCAGTAACACCGATGTTCCCCTGTATCATGCTGTAAACAGAACTGTAATTATGACCTAGAAGACACATCTCCAGAAATAACAGCCCATGGCATTCAATATTTATCCGTAATGTGGAGACTATTAGAAACCAGTTTATGGCAACTGTAGTTTAATGTCACTATTAAGGTAATGGAATGAAAGCACCCAATCATTCCTTGGTCTGCAAGCAACAGAATCAGCTGTACCACTGAATATTTAACAACAAAAAGTACCATTTCTCTGAGTATGTTCAAAACTCACTCTCCATAACACAAGCTATCCTTGATGGTTGAAGTAATACAAATCAATATGCCTTTCTATCAGTGTCTTATTCACTTAAAACTCTTTTCACCACGAGCTTTCAAAATCCTTTTTTATCAGTTTCTTCTTTGAACACCCTTGAGAAAGCCTGCCAGAGTGAGACCCAGTTTGAAAGAAAAAAGTACCAAATATATAAAGTGGTTTGGAAATAGAATGCTCAATTAAAATTAACAGCTTGATTTTTTACTTATGACACTTAATTCTGTCTGTTTAGCTCCAAGAAGGCTGATTGTTCTGAACCTGAAAGGAAAAAATTGTTAAAGGATCTGTTTCTAGATGTAAAGTTTGACTTTCCTCTTAACAGCCAATGTCAACCACCAGCATTTTTTTAGCAGTTTTTTAATGCTCTTTGGGACTTAGGGATTTTTATGGAAAGGAAGATATATTCTCCCTCTCTCCTTGTAGGGCCATTTTAAATACGACGTTGAGCTTTTATTGGTTCTTGGCACAGATCCTTTAAAAAATGAAGGTATTTGGAATTTTGATTGGTTCTGATCAATGGATCAGAACAGTTCAGCATATCTAAGAACCATTCTGCCAATAGAAAATTGTTGGAAGAGTCAACAATCTGTAATAAAAGGATGTGATAGGGTAAGTGCTGGTTCAAGAACCTTAGGGAATTCAGAAGAGAAATCTCAACCTTATACTTTAATGAATCTCAGTGTAAATCATCTTTCTACCTGGGTCTTCGCTGAAAGGAACTAATGCAATAAGAACATTTTAATTGCTACACCATTTTATTAACACAGTATTTCTTACTAGAAGAATTTCTCTTAAGAGTTTTTTATAACAAAATATCTAAGTAGCACAAGGAATGTTATGACAGAAACTGGTCATCACAGAATGTTCACCTTTTTATTTAATGCATCACTCCAGTTGATGCACTGATTTCATTTTTTAAAATTTGTCTTTGGCTGTCTCCCTTTCTCCAGTCTCCTTTGAAAGCAAGCATAAGTTGACTGTGAATTTATATGTGGTGTCTAGGAAAAAGCAGAACAAAAAAACCCCACTGACCAACAGAATGAATCCACTTTTGCAGCAATATCTTTTAAGCTTTTTAAACCAATAGCTGCTTACAAATACTATTTCCCAGAAATGTTTTCCCTACTGTACTGTCTAGCTAGTAACTGCAACAGATGCTTAGGGGCAACATCACTGACATGTTGCTATAAATTAGCATGCTGTGCTTGAAGTAAGGGTAAGCCATCTCACTTACTCTACTCCTCCTCTATAGTCCTTCCAAAAAAATAAATTAGGGAAACATCAGCAGCTCTGTTTAGAATGATGAACTCAAAGCTCCTGGAATTTGAAAAAGATTAGTGTATTCAAGAGAACCGGACACAAGAAATTAAGAGAGCCTTGCACTGTGTGACTGCTTCATTATGAACAGGAACAGAATCTCTTTCCTTAGAAAATTCTGTCCTTCACCTTTATTAATTTCTTGAACAATTCTCTTAAGCTAGTAGAAGAAAAAAACTTGAGAGTTCTGGCTGAAAAACTGCAGCCAAATTGCTTCTGTGCTCTGTACATCAATGGAGTTGGGTCACGCATTGTACTTTTCTGTCATCAGTCAAAACATTGTTTAGTTTACACGCAAAGTCAAAATCAGAAACAAGTGTTTCAAAGACATACCCATAAAATAATATAAATAATTGGAAATTATAGCGTTGATAATGTGAAATGTTTACTTAACACTTTTGTATGATCTTTTCTTGGCAAGTAAACATGAAATATTTGAGTTTCTTCTCTGTTTTTTTTTAAATATAAATAATCAGAAAGAAAAAAAATATCAAAATTCATGTTAACGAAGAGAAGACAGACATGGAAAACAGATTTTGTCAAACTAACCTGGTTCCAGACTGTGGTGAGATAACAGCCTTCGTTTATTTAGGGCAATAAAAATTAAAGCTGACTGCAAAGGATCTGACAATATTGAGTGACTTGGCAATAAAATAAGAGAATTAAATTCAGTGCCAATGAACTGAAGGCAATGTGCACAAGAAAAAAAAAAAGTCTCTAGCTACAAATACACAATGATAGGTTCTAAATTAGCAATTACCACGCAAGAAAATGGTCTTGAAGTCATTGCAGATAGTTCTTTGAACATATCAACTGAATGTTTAGTGGCAGTCCAAACAGCAAATAGGATGTTAGGAGAGATCAGGAAAGGAATAAAGAACAAAACAGAAAGCATTGGGATGCCAGTGCATAAATCTATAGTATGTCTATATCTTGAAGCAACCACCACCTCATCTCAAAAACACAAGGTTGAACTAAAAACATATGAAGGAGTGCAGTCCACTTGGCTAGGGGAATGGAATGGTAGTAGAAATAAGCTCATTTTGGTTTTGAAACAATAGGGAGTTGAAAGAAGACGTAATAAAGACATTAACATCATAGGGAAACAGTATAACAGCAGGACAAGTATAGATGGATGCTCTCCAACCCCCCAGTATACTTCTTAGCTCTTTTCTTGAGACAGAGATATAAGAGAAGAAAGCACAATCACAAATAGTGTGGCAAAATAGAGATCAGTGCAGTGCAAAATAAATTAATTAAAAATTGCCCAGGTGACAGCTAAAAAAGAAATTGTCAGAAGGGGACCAACATGAGAAAAGGAAATTTCTAGATGGGTTTGCAAGGTTCCCAGAGTGTCAGATCCAGTTAGTTTTGATGAGACTGATATATAATAGCTGGGAGGTCTATGCATGACACAAAGACTGGAAAAAAATGGTTAATGGTAATGAGGACAAAGAACTCATACAGTGTGCCAATTGGTCAACTGGACCTATTTCAGCAATTTTTTAATTTTTTTTTTTTTAAACACAATGACTGCTAAGTTGTATTTACAAGGACAAGGAATCCAGGCCTCATTTAGAAAGCAAAGGATATGCATTCCCCTTGGAATGAAGCAATTCCCAAAATAATTTAGAGATCAGTGTGAATGATCAACTCAGTTTGAATTGCTCCTGAGACGCTGAAATAAAAAGGATTAAAACAACCTTAGACACTCAGGTGCGCAGCAGTAAGCAGCACTTGGGAGATTAATTTATCACTCTACAAGGTATCACCAAAACAGATACTATCAGACTTGTTCTTGAAATTCTGGTATTTGCATTTTTTTAAAGGAGGTTGGAAACATGGAGAGAATAGAGAGAAGAATCACAAAAAATATTCAACGGTTGGAGAAAATCTTTTACTGACAGTGATTTAACAAGCTTAATCATTTCACTTTTCAAAAAGATCAAGTGGTGACTTGCCTACAGTGTATACGAGTTTCCATGGGGAGAAAATACCAAGGCTGTCATTCATCTGGCACAGAAACGCATGGTAAGAGACAATGGCTGGAAGCAGACACATTTGAATTAAACTCAGACATTATTATGACTGATTTTCTGTATCATAAAATAATGTTACATATACCGAAAAAAAGATTTGACTATGCTGCAATGAACAGATAATGTAAGATACAGAAAACAGATAGATGGTAAACAGGGAGTACAAAAAAT